GAAAAAAAAAAATTCTTAAACAAAAAATCTTTACCAACACGTGGCATTGAGATTAAGATGCTAGATCCCACATGGCCAACTGCAGTTTGTGTCCTAGACCTGGAGTCTTTGAAATCACATCCACATCCATGTGCATGCCCCAAATGGAGAAGGGATGATGGCGTGGCCATGTCCCCTGGGGGGAGGGGTGATCTCTCTTCTCTCTCTCCAGGAAGTACACAGGTCCTAAGAGCAAAACTCAAAACAAACATCACCATGACAACCACCCTTCTCCTCCAGCCTCTTGGGGTACTGTGCTGACAAATTCTTCAGGATTCTTAATTCTTTCCCTCTAAGGAAGCTCAAAAAGAAAGAGTTCACTACTAAATATATGAAAAGCACCCAGGATAATCAAAGAAAATTCTGGTAAGTTGCAGCCTAGTAAGAACCTTTTGAAGCTGGCATGGAAATGTAAAGGTCTCATCCACAGATACTAAAAAAACCATCTCTGTAGAGGTTTCAGTGTGTGCAAAGATGTCATCTTCTCTCCCCCACCAAACCGGGCAGGAAACGTGAAGGGGAAACCCTGGAAATACCCTGATAGGAGGGGAAGGTTAAGAGGAAAAGATGATACATCAATATTTATTAAAATCTTTATTTCTTTTTTTCAGAATTGAAACCGATAGAACACATTAGAAATTGAGGTGCATATCTGTCTTGTTTGGTGTCTTACCAAGTACAGCCTCTGTGCAACAGCTCTGAGGAACTCCTCGGCAGATCAAAAACGGGGACAGCAGCTCCAGCACCTCCCTCCTAAGCAAATAAATTAGCTTCCCGGTACATTATTCCCAGTTTCCCCAACATTGTGTGTTTGTAAGGAACCTGGTCTTGAGTTTAAGCCACCGGGTCCAGGACTCAAACTGCAGTCAACTACATAGGAGTACTGCAACATAGACATTATGCTAACTGCTGGTCCCTTTGTTAAAATTTTTTAAGGCAAAGTAGTTTCTTTGCTTTCAGTAACTTCTTTTTATCTTGTTAACAATAATCCCATCTCCCTCTAACAACATTAGCCCCAAATGGAGAAGGGATGATGGCGTGGCCATGTCCCCTGGGGGGAGGGGTGATCTCTCTTCTCTCTCTCCAGGAAGTACACAGGTCCTAAGAGCAAAACTCAAAACAAACATCACCATGACAACCACCCTTCTCCTCCAGCCTCTTGGGGTACTGTGCTGACAAATTCTTCAGGATTCTTAATTCTTTCCCTCTAAGGAAGCTCAAAAAGAAAGAGTTCACTACTAAATATATGAAAAGCACCCAGGATAATCAAAGAAAATTCTGGTAAGTTGCAGCCTAGTAAGAACCTTTCGAAGCTGGCATGGAAATGTAAAGGTCTCATCCACAGATACTAAAAAAACCATCTCTGTAGAGGTTTCAGTGTGTGCAAAGATGTCATCTTCTCTCCCCCACCAAACCGGGCAGGAAACGTGAAGGGGAAACCCTGGAAATACCCTGATAGGAGGGGAAGGTTAAGAGGAAAAGATGATACATCAATATTTATTAAAATCTTTATTTCTTTTTTTCAGAATTGAAACCGATAGAACACATTAGAAATTGAGGTGCATATCTGTCTTGTTTGGTGTCTTACCAAGTACAGCCTCTGTGCAACAGCTCTGAGGAACTCCTCGGCAGATCAAAAACGGGGACAGCAGCTCCAGCACCTCCCTCCTAAGCAAATAAATTAGCTTCCCGGTACATTATTCCCAGTTTCCCCAACATTGTGTGTTTGTAAGGAACACCCGAGTTCCTAAAATCCTGCGGCAGACAGTCCAGCACCCATCCCCTACCTTTCACCACCCAGACTTTTCCTCCCAGACTTGGGAGAAAAGCCAGCCTTGCCCTGTAGTAAGCTTCACAACGCCAGACCTGGCTGGCCACTGGCAGGGCCCCCCCCCGCCCTGGCAAACCAGAGCTGCTCGGTGGGAGTCTGCTGAACGAATGGGCTTTATGTCACCTAGGGTCTGTTCACGGCACTCACAGAGAGAGCCTTTTACTAGCTTCCAGACCTTCAGCAACATAAGTCAGTGTTTCCGTGTCAAAATAAATAGGCTTTTCTTGCTAGAATACATACACGACTATATACAAGCGAGTAACTGTACTTGTGTTTCCTGAAGCTCGAGCTCCCAGGATGACAACAGGACAGCTTGCTGGCAGCTGCTGTATTCCCATCACTGAGGTGTGGTCTTTCACTGGTCAAAGAATAGAGATGACTAAGGGTGGAGGCTGGAGGGATGTGGATGAGAAGAAGCGGCCAAAACTTTTTTTTTTTTAAGAAAAAAATGGATTTCTTTGGAAGACAATGCTGCCTTCAGTGAGGGACACTGAAAATTTGCCATCTGTGGGATTCATCTTTTCCAAAATGATATGCAATGGATGTACCTGAATTTTTCTTAAATTTCCTTTGACATATTAACCCTGAGTGCAAACAGGGAGAATACCTTATTTATACATTATTGAACAATACTCTGAGCAAATCAGATTCTATTAATTTGCTTTGTACAGAAAATTATTTACACCCCCACACCTATAATGCAGCTGCATATTAAAGAACAGCTTTAGAATGAAACCTTTATAACCAAACTCCCCCAAACTTCAGAATAAACATTTTGAAGAAGTCGGAAGAGGGTAGGAAATGGCAATCAATTCTGATCTGCTAGCTTTATATGTATCCACATTTGCCTTGAGATGTTAGGTGTGCACACAAAGCTTACGCTGACTGAAAACCCTCCCACAATGTGATTTTAACAGCTCTAGAGTCTAATGAATAAACTATAAAGAGGGCAGTGTTATAAAACTTACAGAAAGATACCTATCTCTCTTTTCCAACAGAACTTAGTGTCTGAGAGTTCAAGGGCTGTAAACTTATGGTTGTTCTTCTCCAAGATGCACCTACACATACTTTTCCAGCTTAATCCAACCCTGACTAAGAACATCAATTTATGTTCTCAGTGTCATATCACAACACTCTACCAGCTTAACTCTAAGTTTCACCTGTGGATCTGAATACCTGTTAAGATCATGAGTGTGAAAATAGCAGGAAAGAGAAAGAAATGACACATCTAGAAATGCTCTGAAGAAAGAAGGTGACATTTTTCAAAGCTTTCCCTCCTGATTCCCCTTAGCATCATTTTCTGCTTCAACGCTATGAAGTCCTCAGTTTCAGAATAGTTCTCATTCATGTCAGTGTGACATAAAGGTGGCGCGTGTTGGGAAGGAGCACTAATCCACATTTACTCGACCAGAACTCACAAAGGAGAGCACAGCTGACTGCCCTCCTTCCGTCTCTTCCTTCCACCTCTGAGGAACACCATCTCAGGGACTCTCCAGCTGAATGGTGACTTTTCCTGGACACACACAGGAAGTAGCCTTATAAGTGGAATCAATGCCTCCTTGTGTTAAGGAGTTATTTTGGTGTTTTATGACCTAATAACTCAGGTCATAAAGATAATTTCGAAAGCCATTGTTGAAGGGGCGGTTACCTAAGACTGGTTTCCAACAGCTGGCATTAAACGTATTCATCCACACTGCTGAACTGTTAAGTTTCTGCTAGACAAAAGCACACAAGCAGACCAGCATCTAGAGGAGAGGCAGGAGAGGAGTGGGAGCCTGAGCACACAGGGGAGCGGACACACCAGGCCCTGCCTCCCAGTGCCCAGTGTTTCCTGCCGCTGCTTCCAGTCCAGATCGCTCTGCCAGAATGAAGAACTAAACCCGTGTTTGAGGATCGGGGAGTTTGAGTGCTGGAGTGGGGGTGGGGGGAGGTGGTGTGCAGCAAATACATCATGGGTTTGGAACTCCAGAACAAGACTAAATGGTGAAACTGGGACTTGAAATAAATAACACTTAAGGCTCTTCCTGATAACCTCAATGTCAAGGCTCAGAAAGCTTAAAATCTTTGTCTCCACTCTCCAGCATGGCTAGATCACAAGATAAGTCCAGCCACCAGTGGGGTGTGCACTCTCATCTGGAGGAGTGAGCTGCCTTCTCACGAGAATGGTTGCTGATCTCAGGAACAGCAACTTCCATGACCAAATGCCTTAAAGGCAGGGATGGAAATTCATTTCAGAAGAAAAATGAAGATGACAGAGACCATAGGCAACCCAAGGTATTATTTCATTTTACTTTGCTTATTTGGAAAAGATTTCTGTTTTGGGCATAAGGAGAAAAAATCAGTCTCCGTAAGAGAATCATACTTGGACTGCAAAACAGTGTTTTCACTAGAAAAATTTTTTTTGCAACTTGCTATTAGGTGTGCATGCTCAAAAGAGAGAGAAAAAGAGAAAGAGACAGAATGTTAAGTGAGAAAGCATCCCTTGAGGGGTGGTTTCACTTCAATCCCTTCTCTTGAGCATGCACGTGCACGCGCCTGGTACGTAAGACAATTTTTTGTTAATTTGGATACAACTGTGAGAATGCTGATTTCACTTATGTACAAAGCCATGTTTGTTTTTTATAGGTCTTTAAAACCTAAACACAGGGATCAGCAGGTGGCATAATGGTCATGTCATAGTCAGTTACTCCAACATGACTGACTGAGCTTTGAGTCCTAGACCCAGCAGCTTGAAACTCACACTGGGAGCATGTGCGTGTGTGCCCAAAATCCTGAGAGGAGAATGGAGGAGATGGGATTTCAGTGTGGCCATCCTCCCAGAGGATGATTCCTCACTTTCTATCTGTCTGGGGAGTGCAAAAATCTCTCTTAAAAAGAAAAAGAAAAAACCCTAAATACAGGGAAACTGATTTTTCATTAATTCACGCATCTCCCTGATTCTGGTTCTACCAGATGTGTCTCTCTTCTCCCCTCTTAGATCATCAAATTGATACCTCCCAATCCCTTAAAAGCTCCATTTCCCTGCTTTTGTCCTTTCCTCCAATTCTTTCTTAGAGAACATATTACCTCTGACAGAGCATGCTATTTTGGCTCAACAGAATGCAAGGTTTTATCTGCCGCCACTCTGTAGGAGGCAGTAAACGCTCCAATAGGACTAGTCTTGGTTAGAAAAAAACACCAGAAACACAAAAGTGTTCCCACAAAATTCACAGATGTGGACAAAGAACTGCAAGGTTCAACTCAAAGCACACACTCCAGAACAAACCCCAGCACCCGCCTACCCAATGCCACAGCTCTGCTTGTCCTTTGGCATGGAAATCACAACCAACTACCCACGAGGCCCACTGCTGGAATGAGCACTTGCCAAGGAAGTCAGAAAGTGATTCAGCAGGAATAGCGCCATGCTCGGCAAGTTGTTTTCGTTTA